TGAAACCTTTGACCGAATGAGATCGAACCCTGACAAAGGTCAATCTCAACCGACATGGTCAAACGGGCTACCAGTTGGCTAAGACTGGCACACCTCGACGACAGAGACGAACAGATGTGGAGTTGTCAGAATGCAGATTAAAAGTAAGTCTGACTGATTAACCGCATTCAAGAAATGTTTTCGTGACTAGAAGTAAATCAGTAGTATGAGATGTATTCACCCAATTTCGTTTGAGCTGATGAAGGAGTAGAGCTGGCCTTTTCACTAAAATTCACATATCCTTGCTTGCCCAAAAGTTTTTCTCATCCCGGCTGTAGTGGACTGCACTTTCGACTTTTGGCAAAGCAAAGCTATGTGAAATTGAATGGAAACAAAATCTTTGCTCATGTGATTGTGGGAAAATTCGACTAGCAGTCCTTCGTCACCTTAAAACGCAATTGGGTGAATGTTGTGGTTAGTTTTGTGGCCGTCTCCTTTTGCTGCATACACCCGGTTTTAAGATGGGCTCACGTCTGTGTCCTGTCGTCAGGGCGACATTTTTTTTCTACTTCGCCGTCAGCACCGTCCACACAAAGCGGCAGCCTTAGCAACTAGGTGTTGTGACAAATTGGGGCTCGATGGAGATACAATTCGTGATGAGCTAAGCAAAGATGCCCTGGCAACTGTACCGAATGAGGCTAAGTTCGAGCCCTGGAGGGGCGACCAGGGCGAAAGGAGGTGGACGGATACCAATTGCATGGGGTTGATACAAATAAGGCCACGGAAAAAGACATGAAGTGAATGCAAAGCAAGTTCTGGAGCTTACCGAGAATCGGTGTGAAGAGGACTTCGAGATAGGCGTCAGGACCGGAAGGTAGTTTCCTTGAGTGGAGATGAGGATGAGGGGACAAGGCCTCGTCGGTTTTATACAAATTCGTGGCATCCGCTAGCACCAATCGTGGCCGCGCTTGTCCAAAAGCTGAGCTTGCCGAGGTTTGAAGGAGACGAGTGGGTGGCCGCGCCAAGAGACTACCCAAAATGCAGGCAATAGACGAGCAGAAAGAGGAGGAAATTCTCAGAGTCGGGTTCTATGCGATAAGATCGAGGAGAGGGCAATTACCGGTAGATTGTATCAAGCACACAATGTCTGCGACAAAACAGACGGACAGATATGCAGATGGACAGATGGAAAGACCGACGGGTGAGTAAGTAGATGGACAGATGGGCAAATAGATAGAGGGGCAGGCATTAGGCATGCAAACAGGTAAGTGGACAGCTATAAAGACAGACAGACAAATGGGCAGCTAAATGAATAGACAGATGCCCGGACAAGCAGGTTGGTAGATTGATGGACTCACAGCTAGACAAAAAGATAGGCGGATAGATGCACAGACAGACAGATGATGGATAACCCGAGGTACAAACATACAGATGAGCAAATAGACAGATGTACAGACGTGCAGATGAACAGATAATCACGCAGACATGTAGACAGCTGAATGCATGCATACATAAACAACATATGCATGTTATAGCCAACGGGAAGGACGTCAGAGCACAACTGGGGTTGGATTGTGAAGGTGCCGGCAACAGTGGTTTGTGTACTCCATATGGGAATGGTATAGTTTGCATATGAAAACGGGCAACCAGAGTTCTTTTAATTCCACATTTTACCATAATTTAATTTACTAATAGTATTTCTAGCCATCCTAGGTCAGATTAGGAGACAAAGGGTTAAGGGTTTACTCTTTTTTCACAATCGAATGAGTAGCCTTGATCCTTGCGCCAAGTTGCACTTGGCTTTGATTTCTCGAAAGGTGTTCTCGTCCCGACTGGAGGTTCGACTATTTCTCTGTCCCCCCAGCAGCTCTGTGGGACGCGAATTCGGCTTTTCGTAGTGCAATCTATAATCTCTACGCGGTACAATCACGCCTATCTACCTCGATGGCCCCGGAGTCAGAGGGCAGACGTGCATTTCCAGGAAGTCTAGAAACTGTTTGAAGTATTTGGATTGTCGATGGGTCAAATATGTTTTTTCCAACTGCACTCGACTATGTTACTCATATGCATAGTAAGTAGGGTTCGAGACTATTGCTAAATCGT